CAGCATCTTCTGAATTTCATCGTTGCAGACGATCAGGTTGGTCAAGCACTTTTAATGTTTGGTATTAGTCTAACCTTCTTCGCAGTCTATAAATGTTGTTGAATGCCCAGAATTTCGACAGCTCCTCTTGCTTTTACGTGAGGACCTCGAGGACAAAGACATTCCCCGCCGAACGAAGATGCGCGAATCCATTATCAAGGCATGGCATGCGTATTTCAAGGTCCTAAAACAGGAATTAGCGGTATGTTGTTTCAATTGACCGCTTTGTTTCCTTGTATTCACTGTTCACTCTAGGATGCGCCAGGACGAATTTCCTACACGGCGGATATTTGGTCAACAAAAGCTCGGTACCCATACCTGGCCATTACCGCACATTGGATACATAGAGACAAGTCTACCAAGGGTCTTCAGCTGCGTTCTACACTCATCGCATTTCACCGTCTTCGAGGAAGCCACAACGGGAAGAGGCTAGCAAGAATTGTCCTCCATCTCTTGGACCGAGTTGGGATTACAGTCAAAGCACGTCTAAGTTTCATTTTCTTTCCCTTTTCTACTTTATGCTTACGTGCACAGGGAGGCCATTGGACTCTCGATAACTGCTCGCTCAACGATGCTTTCCTCAGAGAACTCGAGTTACTTCTACGCCCTCGCGACGTTGAATTTAATCACAAGGAGAATCATATAAGATGCTTCCCACACGTTACCAACATATGTTCGAATCACGTCATTGATGCATTTACTGATATCAGCCTGGTAGATGATACAGGGGGATTTGTCGCATCTGCATCAGGCCCTCCAAGCGATCCCGATAATCAGAGCTACGAAGAAGCGGTTGCTCACGACCCAATTGCATTGTGCCGAAGTACTGTACGAGCAGTACGCGCCTCAGGTCAACGACGTGACCACCTGGCAGAAGTAATAGAGGATGGAAACAAGAAAGGGTGGTTCAAGTCAACCGGGGATCCGACCATGACTATACAGGTCAAGCAGGCACAACTTATACGTGATATGAAGGTTCGGTGGGACTCTCTTTATTTCATGATCAATCGGTTTCGTAAACTACGCCCGGTATGTTTGAACTTCATCATTCTATCAGTGTATACTTATAAAAATAGGCCGTCGAGTACTTTCTTTCTTTGCCCGTCAATAGAGAGCTTGCGAAACTTAGACTTACTGATATGGAATGGACTGTACTCCAGGATTTTGAGATCGTACTGGGTGTACGTCTCTAATATTGATACCTGTTTGAGGCTAAATCTTTTTCTTAGGTACCTCATCAAGTGCAGAAAATCATGTCGAAAGAGCGCACTCCTGTTTTATCAGGCGCAATTCCTGCGTTCGAAATGTTCATGACGGCATGGGAGCAACTTGGGACAGCACACCCCCGCTTGGCCCGATGGACAGATATCGGTATCGACTGGGCGACAACTTACTACAAGAAAATGGATGATTCGCCTGCCTACGTTATTGCGATGTGTGAGTTAAGGTTCAAATTCATAGATCATTCAATAACTTGACATCATCAGTTCTCAATCCCTCAATACGATTGTCATGGATTCGACGACACTGGGAGCCTAATTACGTTGCCAGGGCCACCGTAATTATAAAAAATACTGTAAGTGTCTCAGTTTGTTACGGTGACAGTAACCTAATATACTTGTTCCAGATGCGAAAATACCATGACCGTCTTCATGGACAAGTTCAACAACCTACACCTGGTACAGCAGCCTCGCAGCAAGAGAGGCAAAGCTGGCATGATTTAGCTGGACAATACGGGCTCGAAGATATGATGGACGTTACAGGTGCTTCTTCGCAGCAGGTCCAAGGCGTTGAAGAACAATTTGAGTTGTACGAAAATGGGCCGCTCTCACCGCGTGGCACAGATATTGTAGGGTTTTGGGCGGTAAGTATAGTCTCTCACTATTTTCTAATTTGCCCCACTGATTTTTTTGTAGATAAGTGATAAAACTCATCCAACATTGTACGCGATGGCATTAGATTATTTGCCCATTCAAGCATCCTCGGTTCCTTCCGAGCGCGTTTTTTCATCCAGTGCCGAAACTGATACAAAGCGGCGAAATCGAATCCACCCTGTTCTAATGGAGGCGCTTCAAATGTTAAAGTTTTCGCTCAAGCAGCAACGACTAAACTTTACGGAGGGATGGGCTGTCACAGAAGACGAACTCGAGTACTACGCAGATGACAACGAAGATTCAGTGGATTTGTTAGGGAAGCTAACTTCAGAAATTACGGAGGATGGTATAGATATTGATGAGGTAATTCACGTTATTGGACAGGATGACGAGGATTGATAGCTTGTTCAATATATTTTACTTATCACAAAATGCATTTGTCTCAAATTCTATTACAAATTTAACCTCATTCTACTTAACGCGCGAGTCATCAATTGCGGCAATCATTTACCGGCTATAACCGGTTCAAAGCCACCGACTAAGCCGAGCCGAACCGGACTTGATCAGCTTTCGAGTGATCCACAAACCGGAACCGGCAAAAGCCGCCGGTTCAGCGAGCCGGCTTGCGGCTAGCCGAGCCACGGCAACACTAGTATGCACGCATGTCATACTGCAGCGAAATCATAGTGTGAAGAGTCGGCCTGGGCAATTACGAGTCTCAGGGACGAGTCGAGGTCACGGTATTTAGACAGTGAACAGCTCTAGTGCGAGATTGATGCCAACAATGGGTTGATGTAGAGGGAGAACCTGTGCACCCTGGCTTGTCACGGTGGGCTTGGAATCCTCAACTTGGCATCGCAGTTGTTTCATGGGTGACGTAAAGTACCACGTCCAGATGCAACCATGGGCGGAAGCGGAGAAGGACTACGACGTAGGTGTGAGTGTAAGTAGTGTTGCCAATGGCTCGGCTCACGAGTGTAACAGATGTGACGCATCTTGGGCACGATGGCGACTGAGATGACAAGTAAAAATTTACAAATTAGGAATTCAGTTGCCCGCTGGTTTCCCATCCAGAAGTGAAGCTAGTGAAGATTCGTCGCCCGAATCCAATAGACTAAGTAAACAGCCTTATCAGCAAAGTAACTACTTAAAAGACACCCACGTACCCATACTGCTTCAGCAGCAAACATTCTCCCCCATTTTCCAGATCGATGCTGTACAAGTAAAAATATCCCTCAGCGGAGATGACCATGGGCCATCGTTCTACTTGAAGTGTTGAGACAATGACACCGAAATGTGAGTGAGCGAGGGACTTACCCTGACAATGCAACGATGCTCCATGCCCCGCTCGTTGGCAGTTGGAGGAGGGCAAAGTCTCGCGACGGCTCCCACATCTCTGTGAGCGTGTTAAAAGGGTATCACCCACAGCGTGCATAAGGCTCTTCGTCAGACGCATTGACCGCTTCCGCAGACTCGAGCTATCAATGAGGTCAACACCATACCTAATGAACTCAAAGGGATGACTCACGAAACACTCCTTTTCTTCTTCTCGATGAATGCCTCATACCCACTATCCAGATCTTGCACCCCCTCCCTAAGCTTGAAGATGTGCACCGTATCATGCGCTGAGCACGACGACACGACATTGAAATTTATACGATATATCCGCGCCTCCCTCGTTCCGGCGAAGATGGACCTGGTAGAGTTCATGGAGAGGAAGGAGATGGGCTATGTGTGCCTGGATGATGTTCGCTATGGTCAACGAGCGAGAGGACGTCGCTGGACTTAGACTGGTTGGTGAGGTCAGTGCAGGGGGTTTGCCTGACGTTGTTATTGTGAGGGGTGTTGTTGGAGAGGACAAGGGCAGGTAAGGTAGGTCCTAGGAGCTGTCCGCTGATGGCTATAGCTTTGTTGGTGTCGAGATCTGCAAGAGTGGCAATGCAAACGAACCTTCTGAATTGGGCGTCATCTCTATGATGTCATATTAGAGATATATATCTAGCGCGATGACAAGGGTTTTGCGGTTGAGTTTGACGGCGACGAGGCAAACATCAGGTGAACGCCGTGTATTATGTAATTCGCATTCACAACTGACTTCCAATTTAGCTGGCGTCAACTCCTTTCTGCGAAATTCGAATATCCTCATCTGTTCGATGCCTCAGCCTTTGCCATTCGTCCCTCCTCTAGTGATCCAAGGCGACCCCACTGGCATGGGTGCTTATGAGATCTGCCTCAGGATCGAAGGCAATCTTCAGTGTGCCTCCAACGATGGGAAGCAGATCAACAACGACCTAGTCTACGTCAGGGTCCTAGGTTACCTCCTACACCACTCACCTTCGGATCAAGGATTATCAAGAGTCATATCGGAGATCACCTCGATGGGTGACGATGATGCTGCTGTTTTGCAGGTCGGGAAAATGTATTATGACGGTCTTGTCCTGGCCTTAGGATGTACCAAAAACAAACCAAAGGGATATGTTTGTGCCACTGGGTCCGTCGAAGTTCGAAACTGTTGGGGATATGATCAAAGCCTCCTTAAATGAGGATCCTCAGGATCCGAAAAAGCTGGCATTGATACACGACAATTTCCGTTGTATGGTATCTGGTTTTTACGACGACTCTGTACTGTCGATAAAGGAGCTGGAAACCTTGGTTTCATCAGGTTCAGGATCTTGCCAGCCTGTTGCCCCAACCCGGGTGGTCTACATTTCCGATCCCTGCACAAATCAAGAGATCCATCCAGATTCATACTGGGATGTGTTGCGCACTTTTGGCTACGAGGACCTTGCTGCGACTCTTCGGGGGAAATTAGTCAACCGTTTGCAGAATGTGTTGACTCTTGATTTGAATTTCGCAGCCGAGCTTGAACAGTTCAATGTTTGGTTTGTCGCAACGGCAGTTGAAAACCAATACAAGCTTGAAGCAGCTGGACCGTATCGGTTGCGCCAATATCCAGAATACGTCACCTTTACAACTCCTGATCAGGGCCAATATCCCATCCCGGATCCCACCTATCTTCGCATTCACGCTGCCTGTTCAAATATTGCATACTTATCAGGGGCAGCAAATGCAATTGACGATTTATGTAATACTTAACACCGTACATATGTCATCCGAGTACACAAAAAGTCACACCGACCCACAGTGGATGTAACACGTGTCCACATTTGGCGACATGATGTGGTAATTCACTGTGTATATTTACACCGGACAGTTCTGATTATGTTGACCTCGAACAAAAGAACGCCCACACTGCAAGAACGGGTGTGTCCGGTGTGTCCCACTATTGTTAAATTTTGTGGTCTTGCTTTCCCACTGACTGACAAGACGAATGTTTTTAGTGATTCCTATCCTCATCGTAACAAAGTCATGCCAGTAACTTTGCCTTCAGACGCCCTGGACCAAATTCTGAATCACCTCGACGATCTGGCGTCCGATGTTCTCAATGTCGCCTTCAGACTGACCTTGATGTGGTTTACTGGTCTAGATCGATGCACACAAACCCACTGCTTCCTCATATGCAAACACCTCATCCAAATGAGGAATAACACTTCTTGTCATCGTAGACGAGCACATAAAAAGTCACACGGACCCACGGTGGACGTAACATGCGTCCGCATTTGGGTAACTGTAGCCTGTAGGTGCGCATATTTAAACCCCCGACAGTTCTGATTATGTTGACCTCGAACACTGGCAAAAGAACACCCACACTGCAAGTAACGGGTGTGTCCCACTATTGTTAAAGTTTGCGGTCTTGCACACCCACTGACTGACAAGACGAATGTTTTAGCGATTCCGATCCTCATCGTAACAAAGTCATGCCAGTAACTTTGCCTTCAGACGCTCTGGACCAAATTCTGAATCACCTCGACGATCCCTCGGATGTTCTCAATGTCGCCTTATCCAACAAAACTCTCCACTCAGTCGCAGTACCACAGCATCTATACTATCGCGACATCCGCAGTAGACTGAACAATCCCACCCTTTGGACATGGCTTTCTCGTCCTGATGACCTCTGTGCTGTCCACATCCATTCTCTGACGATCCTACCAGACCAAGGTTCTGACTTTTATCACATCAATAATCATTTCTATGATTTGCGGGAGCGCTTGCCTCCCGATTTTACACCAGCTGAACGGATACCGTTGTCGTGTAATTTGGATTTTGACCTCTGCCGTCAGTCTGAAGCAAGTCTAATCTCGACTTTGAAACGCATGTCGGGTTTGGAATGCTTTAGGTGGTATTGTTTACCCCGACCACTCTTCGTTAGCGACGACGATATTTGGACTGCTCTTCAAAGCCTCGGAACGGTCAAGGAGGTCAATATCTACGATAGGGAAACTAGCGAAATTAAAATCCCTCCTGTGGTCACCTCAGACAGTGTGTGTAATTCCCACTTTTATGACAGGAATTAATCTAATTGAGATCCGGTTCATAGTTTCTCCGTTTCAGCACCCTGAAATGCGTTAAGTTGCAGTCCTCAGTTTGTAGAGGGTCCGATGAGCCTATGATGCCACCTGGGCAGTACTTTACACTCCCACTGCTTGTCCAATGGACTCCGACGGACTTTCATCGGACCCTGCCATTTCCGATGGATTCAGTGGACAGTCCGTCGGAAGACCGTCGGAGTCCGTTGGACATGACTGGATTCCGCTGCAAGTCCAGGCAAAGTCCAGTGAAAGTCCACTCAAACTACTTAGAAGTAAGAAATGGTTGGACTGGCCGGAATTCTGTGTCCGTTGGACATCCGCTGGACTTCCGTCGGATTTCCAACGGACAGAGGCAGAAACCATCATAATTGCTAAGTTCTCAGTCTGCTGGACTTCCACTGGACTTCCAATGGACTTCTGGACTAGCAAAAAAGGCACAACTTCCAACAGACTTTCAGTGTCCAGTCTGCAATTCTTATAAGTAAATCTAAACAAGTCAGGCCCTGGTCAGACCTTCTGCTAAATTCCTTAAGACATTGACGTTTCAAAAACAAAGTATATTTTATACCTACATAAATTTATTTTACTACATTCTATGTTACAGAGAAGGGGGAGGGGGTGGTGATCAGAAAGGGAGGGGGGAGGGACAAAAAGTGAGGGGGAAGGGACAAAAAGGGAGGGGGGAGGGACAGAAAGGGAGGGGGGAGGGAATGGTAAGCAGCAAGGGAGGAGGGAGTAAGGGAGGAGGAGGGAGTGGGGAGCAGCAAGGGAGGAGGAGGGAGTGGGGAGCAGCAAGGGAGGAGGAGGGAGTGGGGAGCAGCAAGGGAGGAGGAGGGAGCAAGGGAGGAGGAGGGAGCAAGGGAGGGGGGAGGGAGTGGTGAGCAGCAAGGGAGGGGAGTAGGGTGGGGGGAGGGAGTGGTGAGTAATGGTGAGGGGATGGAATGGTGAGTAATGGAGGGGGGAGGGGATGGTGGTGCTGGGCCCTCATCCTCGTTCGCGCGTGGTCATTGGCGCGCATCGTTGACGCGTTATTGCGTCGCGCCGTGTCGGCGTCCTCGCGTCGCGTCGCGCCGTCCTCGCGTCGTGTCGTGTCGCCGTCCTCGCGTGTTGTGTCATCATCGTCGTGTCGTCGTCGTCGTCGTGTCGTCGTCCGTCCTGTCGCCGTTGCGCATCGTTGTTGCCTTTCGTTCTCCTTGGGCGTTGTTGTCACCTCGTTGTTGTCTCGTCGGTGGGCGTTGTCGACACGTCATCGTGTCATCGTTGTCGTCGTGTTGTCGTGTTGTCGTGTTGTCCGCGTCGCGCGTCGTTCACACGTCATTGTGTCGTCGTCGTCGTGTCATCGTCGTCGTCGTGTCGTCGTGTCGTCGTCGTGTCGTCGTCGTCGTGTCATCGTGTCGTCGTGCCATCCGCGTCGCATGTCGTGTCGTCGTGGGTCGGTGGGCTGTCGTTGCTGGGGATGGATGTGGTTGAGGACAAGCGACGATGATGGCCAAATGATGCGTCGGCGTTTGCCGATGACCGTTTTAGGAAAGCGGTCAAACAGTAGGTATGTATAGTACAAAGTACTTACTTATATCAAAGGCTCCTTGGTGCAGCTGGTTTAGCATTGTGTTCCATATGCTTCAGATCCTAAGGTTGAGTGTTCAATTCCCCAATGTTGCATTTTTTTTATGTTATATATTAATAATAATAACAACAGTCTGTTGGAATTCCGTTGGACTTCTGTTGGATTTGTCCACTGGAATTCCATTGGCACTTGCTCGTCATTTCCAGTGGACTGGGTGCTAGTTTGCTGTTAGTCCATCGGAAGTCCGTCGGAAAAGTCCAACGGACTTTTCAGTCCGACCAAAAATGCTCGGAAAAGCTTCGGACATTCACCGGAAAATTTGCTGTATTTCAAAGCAGAAAAATATCTGTTCTGCATACCCTCAGTCTGCTCGGAAAAGCAGTGGCAGCGTAAAGACCTCCACCTGGGCTGGAGAAAATGTTGCTGAACTTACCAGATCTCGAGGTCCGTTGTCCGTTTCTATTAATCGTCCTAATCTTATCTCACACTCGCACTTTGATTTCAATTCGATGGATTTCTGGCTGAATTCAGGTGTTAGTATTGGAACTTGACCTCCACGAGCAATTCTACGGTACCGCCAACATCGACAATTTCCTCACCTCTGCAAATTTGCCCAAACTGCGCATCCTTCGCTTCCGCGGGGTGAATTGCCGTGTAGATCCGCTCATTTGCTTCCTTACCGTTCATCGCACTATCGAACACCTAGCTCTTGCCTAGATGATGCCAGGTCGTGCCTGGACGCAGATGGAGCGCCAGTTTCCTGTCGACGCTCTGCCCAACCTGCGGCTGAGATATTGAAAGCCCCTCGTCCGACCCTTGAGACGTTGCTTGGTGTCGAGGTGCACGATACAATTGTGGACTCCAACTACTTTACCTGGGATGACGACTGGGAGGAAGAGGATCATGATGACTACGACGAGGACAAAGAAAGGGCCTCGCCGTGGAAGGCGATTTTTTTGGAAAACCTCATGACGCAGCGTCCCGTTAGGCGTTTTCGGGTCCCCTCTGTCAATTCTGCGCAGGAGATAGAGCATCTTTCTGTTGTTGCTCCTCAAATCACGGAACTCAGGGACATTGTAACCACTGGACAAAATCCTGAAATTCCCGTAAGTTCATTCAAATTCCCGATCTACCCTTAGGTTAAAGAGTAAAATACCATTTTTATCACTGCAACAGAACAGCGAATGGCATAGGCTATTTTCTCTCTTCCCATTGCTCGAAGTAATTGAAATTTGGCCCTTCGTATGGTTCTACCCTCTGGTGGAGAACCTGACCATAGAGTCGGCGGTTGGTCGGCGGAGAAGAATAACACTCAAATCCAGGCCCTTGCAAAGGCGTGTCCAAGGTTAAGACTCGTTCTGGTTGCGAGACACGCGAAGAAAGCAGTGATTATTCGAGGGCGGGGTGGAGAGGAGCCCCGGGTTGGCCCCGGGCAAAGGCAGAAGGGGTGAGGTGGGTTGTCAGAAAGTGGATGGAAAGCGAAGAAGTGGCTGTCAGAAGCTGGGAGAATGTGTATGGCCCTTAAGAGCGACGTTTATTCATTTTCTCCCCTTGACAAAAATGACTTGGTCGCCTGTTTTCGTGGATGAATTCATGTTAAGTTGTTGTGAATTTGACTGAACCGGGCAGCCTACGCGTTCTCATCCTTCACGGTCGCCCTGTAGATCTAGAATTTTGAGCCTGAATTGATGAAAGACAAAGTAGCACGATATGTGCGCACTGCGCTCAGAGTCAAATGACACCCAGAGAACGTTGGCGGACGACCAACCTCAAGATGAGAGCTGGTTCTCTGCGAGTTCTGGAGCCACATGCTGCAGCCACCCCCAACAGCTGGTATGAACGTGGAGGGAGGTTCAAGGGTTCTTGCAATGTTCTTGGGTCAACTTGAAGTGTAGATCTCCAATTCCAAAAACAGAACTTTCACATTTTTTTCGGATTCAACACTGTGTTCCCTTACTTAAATTAAACATAATGAATTACTACCATCGGAGACTGGGGTGTCGTTGATACATGTAGAGAATGAAGTTGATAAAGTACATATGCGCAACCTTCGGCGATACAACTTTCAATGATACACTGGCTATAAAGTAGCGCTCTGTAGAAAAAGAAGAGGCCATCAGCTGAAAATTCTATACGGGAAGTATGGTAGGAACACACCAGATATCAATGATACACCCGATGCATTGCGCAACGCGCGTCCTCCGGGCGGGGGCTCCGCCGGGGACCAGGTCCACACCGTGACCAGTTAAATATCGCCCAGCTCGTAACGCCGAGAGATTTCTAATAATGTCGACGTTACTCAGCGCGGGCAGGGCGTGGCAAACAGGTTGCCCAGGCTGTGCAGGCTGGAAACAAATGAGCGAAGTAGCGGCATGTAAGATAGTACTCACGACGGCTACCGACGGACGTGATCCATCCAGAAAAAGCACCTCCTCATAGGGAATTTGGTGTCCTGTGCCCTTTCCCATGTTGCCGTTCTATGTGTGTGCTGGTTAGTTATCCTCGATACCAGGTATATGGAGACTTGCAATGGCGATCTGACGCTGAATATCATTTAGCCTACGATCAAGCCTGCGATCAAGCGCTGCGATCGCGTTGAGGACTATGGCTGCACCTGCCAATGGGGCTGAAAGGGGATGAGTAAGGACAGAGAAAATGCAAAAAGGGCGAACCTGCGGGTGCTGCAGGGGGCGCGGCGGCAGCAGGAGCGGGTGCTGGAGCGATTAGTGAAAGTTGCTTTGAGGCGATGATATCTGCGCCGTAGAAGGTGACCGCTTCAACGACGTCGGCGGGGATGTCCGTATTAAGACCTGAAAGAAAGGTTAGCGATCTGGTTCTTAACCATTTGAAAAGAAGAAAAGAATAGAAAAACTGACGAAGCTCGTGTGACACGTTGGCCATGAGCTTAACTGCTGCCGTGACGTCGGCGGCGGTTGGGGGGTTTTCAGGTTGAGCGGGAGGCTGTACACCAGCGACGAGTCCGGGTGGGAGATTGAGGGTAACTTGGGCCAGCGGTGCGGCCATGGTTAGGAGCAAGAAATTGAAGAAAGTCGCGTCAACCACACGTGACGTGGGCAAACTGGCAGACACCATATGTCACTGTGGCATGCCTCATTCAACTCGCCGGGACAACTGGCCACATGCAGACTTCTCTGTTGACGGCTACACTTCCACAGCCCATCACGAGCACCTCCGATATGCACGGCGACCGCACAACCTAATGCAACTACCTCTGTCGTATTGTTGGACAGCTACGACGTACAGCCAGGCCCAAGGGGGGTGCCAACGAGGACACGATGATGAAGACCAGTAAAAATATACAAAATAACACATTCAGTTGCCCCCAGGTTTCCCATCCAGAAGCGAAGATTCGTCGCCCGAATCCAGTAGACTAAGTTAACACCATTATTAGCAGAACTAACCACTTAGAACTTTGATTTGCACACACCTATATTGCTTCAGCAACGAGCATTCTCCCCCATTTTCCAGATCGATGCTGTACAAGTAGAAATATCCCTCTGAGGAGATGACCATGACGTGGGGCATCGTTCTATACAAAGCGTTGAGACAACGACACCGAAATGTAAGTGAGTGAGTGAGGGACTTACCCCGACAACGCAACGATGCTGCGTGCGCCGCTCGTTGGCAGTCGGAGGAAGGCAAAGTCTCGCGACGGCTCCCACATCTCCGTGAGCGTGTTGGGAAGGTATCCGCCCACGGAGTGCGTAAGGCTCTTCGTCAGATGCATTGACCGTTTCCGCAGACTCGAGCTATCAACGAGGTCGGTTAACAACATACCTAAAAGAACCCAAAGAGAGAAGACTCACGAAACGCTGCTGCCTTTCTTCTTTTCAATGAACCCCTCATACCCACTATCCAAATCCTGCACACCCTCCCTACTATCAATCGACGCCGGCGGGCTAGAAGGCTGATCACCACCACCACCCTTGGAAGACGAGCTGGCGCCCGGCGAACCTGACGATTTCTGTGATCCAAGCTTGAAGATATGCACCGTATCATGCGCCGAGCTGACAGCCAACAACGTCGACACCACATTGAAATTTATCGAATATATCCGCGCCTCCCTCGTCCCGCGCCTAAACTGATAAAGCTTCTCCGCGCCCGGGATGCTCCATACGCGAATGACGGTGCCTTTCTCGGAGGACGTGGCGAGGATGGAGCCGGTGGAGTTGATGGAGAGGAAGGAGATGGGTGCTTTGTGCGCCTGGATGACGTTGGCTACGGTCAGCGAGCGGGTTGAGAACAAGAGAACGTCGCCGGACTGGTTTTGGGGTGAGGTTGACGCGGGGGGTGGGACTGACGTTGCTGTTGCGAGGGGTGTTGTTGGTGAGGGCACGGGTGATGGGTAGGCGAGGTAGGAGCTGTCCGCTGATGGGGAGAGAGCACAGATGGCTGTTTGTTTTGTTAGTTGTCAAGATTCGCATCGGGAGAAGAGCAAACGCACCTTCTGGGTTGGGCGTGGTCTCTATAACGTGTAGCAACCTCATATTCGAGATATCGTAGATATATATCTCGGTTTCCAACACGATGACGAGGGTTTTGCGGTTGAGTTTGACAGCGAGGATTGATGACGGAAAGAGAAGTTCACATATCATGGATTGACGCTTGGGGTGTCTGCTGGTGAGTTACTCTTGCTATCAAACACAGCGGTCGAAACGACTCACTTTTGTATTGACAATCTGCAGCTTCCGTGGGCTAGATTGTGGTTGATCGGCTGCACCCACAAGGGCTATCAGCGATGTGCAGAACAGCATCTCGACTATCCCTCGCGCCCCGTCATCTAGCAGCAAGTCAGCGACAACGAGCCTCTTGGACGGTCTGACAAGTCACTACGCACTCATGGTATAAACACGGCCAAAAGGATCACAATTGGTGATGCAATAGCCCTTCCGTGTCCCCACTGACACACATCTGTGATTCCAGTGAGCTTTCTGACGATTCAGAGCGTTGGAAACATACGAAAAGTCCTGGTTAAAGTTTGCGAACAACATATTCGCGTTTGTGCGTTCTGCCATGATGATGGTAAGAGTCTAACCAAGGTGGCCTTATTCAGTGAATGACTAAGCGCCACTTCTTTCTCAACGGCTCACTTTGGGCTCCCTCTAGGCGACTCGAGTTCAACTTCCATACCCATAGCGTCTTCGGGCCAATCATCAGTGATACCTACCGATACCAATATACTAACTCTTTCATCTCAGACAAACCCCGTACTTATTTCCTCAGCAGACCCGACAATCCCTGGCATCCTTGAACATTTTTATGTTCTCAGCTAATGGACGTAGGTGATTTCTTATCTGATCGTATCAACGAACAACAAGCAGAGCTGGATTTCGCACGAGCTGAAGACGGGGCGTTTATACAGAGTTTTTCGCCTGGGAGCAAGAAGAGTGTCGTCGAACACTCATTAGTCTTTGCACATAACCCCAAAATGCTGCGATCACCTAGAGTCTCTACGTCTCACCACCCCTCTCAGGTCACCATTGTAGAGGGCTTTGAAGAGTTCTACTTCGACAATCTCGTCGATGGCAGCGACTCGTTCCAGGCATCTTGCGCCACCATCGAAGCTGCTCGATGGAAACCATGTCCAAGCTATTTCAGCTGCACTCCAATATCGCAGAGTACTCAGCGAGACGTGGTCCAGGACCTTATGTTAGCATTTATAATAATATTATGCCCTACATACATAAACGATCCCCATTTCCCAGTTTTCGAATACCTCGAGAACGTTAGCACATTTGCTCGGCAGGAGGAATTTAACGATCCTGACAGTAAGCACATACTTTATTTCAACCGGTATTATTGACTTTGAAGCGATAAAAAAAAGTGGAAGAAATCCAAAACGAAACCGTGCGGAGGTTGATTTTTGGGCCTCACAAATTTACACTAACTGGGAAAAAAGAATGTCTGGTCATTTTTTGGACAAAGTTGGTGCTGTAACACAAGAACCAAACATTTTCAGAACTAAGCTCTGGTGTATGAGACATAGCTAAGGAGGTGTAGATTGTACATACCAAGTCTGGGGATGAATGAATGAAAACTCAGGATAAGGCAGAGCATTCACTGTGACAACTTCCAAAAATGGGATTTGACAAAATGGGAAATTCTGAATGACTGCAACCTACTGGAAGCAATTCACAATTTGAAGCAGAAATATTTTAAACACTCAATCTCCCTGCTATTGTCATAAGCCCCATAAAGTCTCTGAGATATAAAATTCTATAGTCTCCCCAAAAAAGTGAATTTGAATTGATTCCCCTCCTTGGACATTTGCAGTTGCAAATATTGCCCAGGATTGATAGGAGAAGGTATCTATTGTCATAGTATTGTACATATACATAACTATTACTGTTCCATGATCTGATTTGACCACATTGCCAGGAATAAAGCATTTAATGGCTAATAAAACTTCAAGAAACTGTGAAAATCAAGAGACATATAGTCAATATGGTTCCCAGAAACCCTGCTTCCAAGGGGTTACAGTTAATATGGGTGTTTTGAAATGTCCATGCCAAGTGCTTCTACCTATCTCTTGAGTTTTGGGCACAGATGCTTCTCAAATGGCCCACAAAGCTCACTGAAGCATGACAGAGAGATTTCCAAATCAGGCCTAGAAAGGTCTGGGGGTCTCAGATCCTTGTATGAATAGGACCTCTGTTTATTTCCTTGGGATAGTGTTCCTAGGTATGAGAAGTGCCTTGTGAAATATTTTCAGCCCCAATTCACCAAGAAAAATGTCAAGGATTGGTCCAGGACGATTGCTCTATGCAAAATGTACTTTTCTTGGGGACTATTCAAGTTATACCCAGTGTAAATTTATTTGCTATCATATTATACTTCAGGTGTTGTTTAAAGGACATCCTGAGTCTCCATGGATTAACTCAAAAGGGTGGTAGCATTTTTTCTTCTTGCAGAAAAGAAGGACCAATGTTGTAGATACTTGTTTACTTTCAGAAAAACTCTGGAAATAAACTTCTACAGACATCATGCAATGGTCATTTTAACATTTCTACCTACCTTTTGTATTATACACACTACAAACATTAATAGGGAGTCATTTTTCCTCATTTCAACAAATATATTGAGTGAAAAATACATAAAGTGGAGAACAAGTTCAAATTTACCTTTTAGGGGAGGATATAAATTTTCTAGCCCAAAGACTTTATGAAGCTCATAACAATAGCAGGGAGATCCAGTAATCAAAATATCTCTTCCTCAAGTTGTGAATTGCTTTCAGTAGGTTGCAGTCATTCAGAATTTCCTATTTTGTCAAATCCCATTTTTGGAAGTTGTCACAGTGAATGCTCTGCCTTATCCTGAGTTTTCATTCATTCATCCCCAGACTTGGTATGTACAATCTACACCTCCTTAGCTATGTCTCATACACCTGAGCTTAGTTTTGAAAATGTTTGGTTCTTGTGTTACAGCACCAACTTTGTCCAAAAAATGACCAGACATTCTTTTTTCCCAGTTAGTGTACACTCCAAAATGTGGACGATCTCGGATTTTTTAGCCTTACCCGCATCACAAATTCCGCCACTGCTTGTTATGGGACACCACACAAAGGTCGGTATACTTATTCCCAAAGGATTATTCATTCTAGTCACTTATTTTCTTAGAGACTCATTAATTTGGCCTGGAGCTCAATTCCCCAATTCAGACTGTCTCCCAACAAAATGGGTCATTGATACTTGATTGATACCCAGATATTCGCAGTAATTTCAAAAGACATAAATACTTTTTGTCCCAATCTCAACTGCTTGACGAGGCTTCGGGGGCATATAAGTTTGCCCCGATTGAACCCGCCAAGGCAACGGAAACGAATGAGAGCATGAAATTGTCAAAGGTTGAACCGTGTGGCGCGCTCTGTTTTAAATTACAAGATTTCGACTCAGAGGAAAAGAATCTTTTGGTACGGCCCACACTCCCATTATCTTATAACCCGTTTGGACATTCTTCTCCTTAGGAATCTTCACCTTGGAGCAATCCCGATGATATAACAATGTTCGAAGGGATTCTCAAGCTCACTCCCGATACCATCCCATGTGGTCTCGCTATTATTTGCGGGAAAACTTGCTCTGAGGTACGTATATATTACAATTCATTACGACAACTCCGACTTGCAGTGTACCTTCTGATAGGTTTTCATCTACCGTTCGAAAACGAAAAAATTCTAGAAAACACAAGTTACGATTCTCCCAGTCCAAGCGAACTCGTCCTCCCAGAATTCGGTAAGGCTTCAACTTCTTATTTCTATAATGCAGTGAGCACGTTGGTGCTCGGATTCACACCACAATCTTGTGGAAGCCCGATCACCACTGTACACAGCAATTTCTAAATTTACCAAAGTCTTCCACCCTGCCAGCACAAAGGTCCATGCCACGAAGTCTCCAGTGGAGTAGTTGCCGGGCGTCGGCGCGTGAATGCGATCCAGAACTCTGCGTCAAGTGTGATGCTCGGTCTGTTTCTTTTTTTTTAAAATGCGCACTGCTCCATGATGTTCATTGCATTCAGAGGACGGCATAAGAAGAAAAAGTGTCTAAATAACTATGACATTCAAAAGGGGAGGTTCCAGGTACCGTTGCTTGATCAAATTCCGATCGAAGCTACATGAGGTTTTTATTTCACAAACTACAGCCAATTAAAATCGCGAAGAGTGATATACGGAAGTGGGGCATACGCCCTTGAATGCGCGCTAGCCAAAGGAGTAATTATTGGAGGTATAAAATATTCCGTGCTTTTGATACCCGGACTTCCTAGCGGCGGGATGACTTTTACTAGAATATGCCGGCGAGTTAATCCCCAGAGAGGGCACCGCCATGACGACGTTAGACGTGTAGGCGGCATCCAAATGCAGTGTTATTTCTAGAACCTGATCTTCTATTTGACAGATTGTGCAATCATTTGAAGCTAAACTACATATTTGACCTGGACACGACATAAGTATGTTCTTGATTCTGCAATTTTCGGGAACGAGATGCGATACTTAAACCATTCGGAGAACCCGAATTGTTGCGCGACAGGTAATTGATACGCCTTTGTTCCCTTTCCATTCTGCACTAACTTTGTGGTTGACATAACTAGTCATCGACGTGGATGGGGTTCATCGAATCGTCCTCGTGACAAGTGAGTGTTGACAGGGCGTTTACTTGACGGCGTTTAACATTTCTTGTGCAGCAAAAAGTGTAGCAATTGCAGAGGAACTATTTTTAAACTATGGGGAGTCCTACTGGACAAACCATTCTCATGCTTGATCGTGACTGGACAGATTTTTGAAATAACCCAATGCGAAGTGGTTCACCAGCTGTGGAGTTTGTTTGAAAATTCTATATTTTTAGACCTTGTACCATGTGCAGCTTCGCCAATTGTGCAATTTTGATTTTTTTCTCGCCATGCCTCCAGGGTTGGTCAAAATTTGGGAGTGAGCCTCCGCGTAATGACGGGATCAACGCAAAGGGTCAGAGGCGCACAAATCTGACTCCCAACTAAAACACACGAATGTACGTTCTGAACCGGGGCATTGTAGTGGCATGATTTCACCAACCCCAAAACTTAAGCACGTCTTTCTTTGAGGCTTCAGTGATCGCCCGATATATACCGGCGGTTTATTTGTATGTATTCACACCCTTATCCGTAAGACATGAATTTGGAAGCTGCAAAAACGACCTCAGAGGAAGTCTATATTGATTGCCCTTCATTCTCCTGAACATCCTTTACATTCGTGATTATGTTCTCGTAGCTCGGCTCTGGTCTTTACCGATACTCAACTGCACCGATGGATCACTGTTTTGTGATTCGATCTACACGTCGGTATCCGAGCTTCATACCTAATTCATCATAGCGCAACTCAAATTCATCCCCAAATACGAAAATGTGGAATGCACGACTAGAGGTGATCGGTTTATAGCTTGTCACATTCCTGGAGATCTTAGCATTTGTCCGAGCGCGATGCTTAGCGGCGGCGGTTCCACATCTGAACCCTTGACTGTGTCTGGGAGAAGCGCTGAACAATTTAAGACTCTTCAAAGCAGGGAGAGTTGCGCAGATATCCAAGAGTGACCACTGAACAGGAAGTTTGAAAGCGTGTATGACTGAACAGATGTGGGAACACCTACGATCACATTGTCTCCGCTCGCGGATGAATTGTCTTCATCGTCCTTTTCTTTCGCCATATCCCCAGAGTTAATGGATAATTCAAGAAATGTAAGGCGTGTACATTTCTTCAATATACCGGAACAGTGGCTGGTGAAAGACCAACTCCCTTCATAATTGGTGTTAATTTCAAGAGAGTCGAGGGAATGGATGTGATTCTGGAGAGCCTGTTCATAGAACTTGATTGCAAGTTGATCAGACGCCTGTGGCAGCGTTCGATATAGCGATGCTTGAGTAAGTTTGAGACGTCGAAGTCCAGAAAATGATGTTAGGTACTCGATGAGGGTTAGTTGGACGTCATCTGTGACAATCTCCTGCAGATGGATTTTTTCTATCCGCAAAACCGACCAAATATTTCCTGAGGAAAATCCAGCACCCTGATTTCCCGAAACTTGATCCTGAGGTGAGAAGATACCTTCAGTGGTAAGGGAGATCAGCGATCTCAAATGTGGTAGTACAGTGGCATCCAGTTTCAAAGACAGCCCCTTCAAGCTAAAATGTGTGATGTTCAAGAACATGGATGTCTCCGAGAGATAGTCATTCAAGTTCGGCGCGCTCCTATCATGTGGGTCATGAATTATGGTAAGTGTTGTCAACTTCGGTTGACTCCAACCAATCAATTTCGCAACGGGAATAATGGCGCTGGGATCATTATACAGCCGAGATGTACGGATCAAGGTCAAATTTTCGAGGTGTGGCAATCGTCGCAACTGAAAGAAAGGATCTAGAATAGCTCGATAGCGCAGATAAAGATCCTTTAGGAATGGAAGCGACGCAAGGGCATCAAAAACTTGAAGGATGGCCCACTCTGGATCAGAGTCATATGTGAACCACCTAAAATGCATCAATATGTGCTTTGAAACAGGGCATTTGACTTACGAGACTTTACGAACCCCAGTCAAGGACCCAACAGCTGGGACAAGGAATGACTTAATTTTGGCCTCCTCTTCAGACGTTAAAATCCTGCTCTCATGCCACGAGGGATATAAGCTGGCACAAATGTTGAGCTGGGTAGCATATTTTGAGATAGGTGTTGGCTTTGGCTCAGCGGTAGCCAGATTCTCGAGCTGGGATGGTAGATCTATCGACGATAACCGAATTCTCGACAAAATTTGCGGCTCCAGTGCAAAGTTAACCTGTTTGCATACTAAACGTAGAGTCTTGCCGGTCGTCTACCAAAAAGATTAAAGTAAGAAATGGCACTTGGAAGTTGGACTCATGGAGCATAAAACCGAAATTACCTCGACGGCTACTTCTTGGAGAAGCTCTGTAGGTAGAGACAAAAATCCAGTCATGAGACCTCTTGTATAGTAGGCGGTATGAGGCGTTCAATCACAATCGATAGGAGATCTAAATACATCAGTATTTGGTAAAGTCCCGTCGACAAACAAGCCAAACGAGCGCAAACAACGCATACACACAGCTTCGTGCTCAAACCACCCTGGTCTTCCTTCTTCCTCGTTCATGAGGATGCACGTCCAATATCAATCGCAACTGTAACATCCTACAAAACTATTTTCACGCTGTGTACGTCTCATTTTTTATACAGTCAACTCACCAACTAACGACGACGTCACAGCACACCGCCACCCCTCCCCCAATCCCCGGAACCCCGGTTGGCCACTGCACAACCTCCTCGCATACCTCCGCACCCTATACCCAACCCAGACCCCTTCCACTCGTGTTTTTTGCTGGAGCGACCCCGGACTTCCAACCTGTGAATGGAAGAGCCGATTCGGAGTCGTTCAAATGACAGGTGGAGGTCGACCATCCACTCTCAACTGGGAGAAAGTTTTACACGGGCTCGGGTCTCGCGTTGCGGACCTCGCGCCCATGATGCATCCCACCAGGTACATTTTTTCTTCTTTTCTTCTTCATGCGCTGCATCTCACGAAGCTACCTACCTTAGATTGGCCACTCAAGCCGCCGCCTGAGCCTAAAGCTCATGCAATAGAGGATCTGAGCTAACCTTGAGTCCAAGAAGATATCAACAGCGAAATGCCTCCTCCCTGGCGCTGGCATGCTCGGATACTACTTCGCGCAAGCGTCGACGGTCTGTTCCCCTTTCCCAAATTCGCGCCTCCATCAATCTTACGTTGTTGAACAGGACTGGCGGCCGCACCATCACCTTCGTCGACTTCTGCCTCGCGCGTCTCGTTCTCTAGTCCCGTCCGGCAAACCCTCTTTGAATTCGAGGACTGCCCAGGGGGCAAGCTCAAAGCCGAATGTGCAGCTGTCAGGACGATTCTGTACCCCGGAATCGTACGCTGTTTCCTCACTTTCTCCGAATGTCATCTGATGAAATGCCATCATCTATCCAGAATCTCAGTAAGTCTCAACTCTTCTGCAATCAACCTCTCCACTTACGACCACGTCACAGCACATCATTCCCTTCATCCATGTCGCCGCACACCATCCCTTTTTACCCCTCCCCCATCCCAAAAATTCCGGCTGGCCACTCCGCACTGACCTCCTCGCATACTTTTGTTCCCTATACCCCTCCGTCTGCGTTCTCTGCTGGCGCGACTCTGAACTCACCTTCGAACGGGAGAGTAGTTTCAGAGTCGTTCAAGTTACATGTGACATCGCAGAAGGTCAACCAAGCGTCGTCGGATTGGAGAATAACCGACGAAAAACTCGGCCCCCGGGTTGCGGATCTTGGGCCAACGATGGATTCCACCGGATACAACTTTTCTTCTTCCCTTTTGCATACACCGCATCTAATGAAGCTACCCTAGCTACTCACCCTAGACTGGCCACCCAAGCAGTCGACCCGAACCTCAAGCATGCGATGGAGGATCCTCGACCTCGAGAAGATACGGGCAGCGAATTGCTTCATTCTTTGCGGGCGCTCTTGGATGTCTCGTCCGAACCTTAATGGTCCGTTTTTAACCTTACAACTTCATATTACTTACCTCGTTTTACACACACAGTTGAGGCATACGCATCGTCAAATTTGTCGACTCTTCCCGCGTGTCGTTCTCCAATCCCAATACCCAATGGTTGCATACAGACCTCGGGGCTGCCGAGGGGAAGGTTAGTTCATCGTCCTTCCCACTCCTTTACCCAACTAACCAACACCAGATAGTCTTGTACTCCGCACTTGGTTTTGATGCTATGAAGCGCCCGCATATCTTCCACACCTAAAGATGCACAGCCAGCCCTCAGCTTAATACAGTTGAAACTCCTGATAGACTGCACCCTTGACGAGATGGTACCGTCATCCCACGCACCCATCGCAGCCGCCATGGCCGTTGAGCAGCTCGCGTCTGCCTTGCAACATCATCAGCAGCATCAAGTGTATGTACACGCTCTTCTTTCGTCATTTTCATAACCCTAACATACATTGTCTCTCATCTCTAGACTCCAAGCACCTCCACATTTCCAATCCGACGCTGAACATGGCGCGAGCGTTCCCGGTTTCGTATTGCACCAACTCCATGGCTTCCTCGCCGAGTTCCGAAATTTACTGTTTACGGCTTGTGATGTAGCTAATGAAAGAAAGGAAAGTAACATCATTTTGTTGTCTATATTGAGTTCCTTTCATTCTCCCGAACATCCTCTACATTTGTGATTATGTTCTCGTAGCTCAGCTTTGCTCTTTACCAATACTTAACCCCACCGATGGCTATAGAGTACATCGGTATCCGAGGTTCATACCCAACTCATCCCGCTGCAACTCAAATTCATCCCGATCTATGAAAATGCGGAATGCATGACTGGGGGTGGTTGGCTTATAGCTTGTCACATTCTTGATGATCTTAGCATTTGTCCGAGCGCAATGCTTGGCAGTGACCGTTCCATATGTGGAAGTGCTGAACAATTTAAGAGTCTTCAAAGCAGGGAGAGCTGCACAGATATCCAAGAGCGACCACTAAACGAGAGTTTGTAAGTGTATGACTGAACAAATGTGGGAGCACTTACAATCACATTGCCTCCGCTGGCGGATGAATCCTCTTTATTGTTATTTTCTTCCGCCATATCCTCAGAGTTGATGGATAATTTGAGGAACGTAAGGCGTGTACATTTTATTATTATGCTGGAGCAGTGGCTCGCGAAAGACCATTTCCCTTCGTAATTGGTGTTGATTTCAAGAGCGTCGAGGGAATGGACGTGATTCTGGAGAGCCTGTTCATAAAACTTGAGAGCAAGTTGATCAGACACCTGTGGCGGCATGTCATATGGTGTTTCAGTAAGTATGAGACGTCGAAGACCAGAAAATGATGCTAGATACTCGATGAGGGCTGATTGGACGACATCTGTGATAATTTCCTGCAGATGGATTTTTTCGAACCACAAAACCGACCAAACATCTCCTGACGAAAATCCAGCACCTTGATTATCCGAAACTTGATCCGGCGGTGAGAAGGTAACATCAGTAGTGAGAGAGATCAGTGATCTCAAATGGGAAAGTACGGTGGCATCCAGTTTTACAGGCAGCCCCTTCAAGGTAAGATGTGTGATTTTCAAGAACACCGAACTTTTGGATGTTTCCGAAAGAAGGTCATTCAAGTTCGGCGCATTCTGATACTAGTCGCGATATCGGTTATTATTGATTGTAAGCGTTGTCAACTTGGGTTGACTCCAATTAATAAGTCTCGCAATGGGAATAACGGTGATGCAATCATCATCCTGCCAAGATTCACGGGTAATGGTCAAATTTTCGAGGTGTGGCAATCGTCGCAGCTGCAAGAAAGGGTTGGAAACAGGCCAACAGCACAGATGAAGATCATTTAGGAATGGAAGCGACGCAAGGGCATCAAAAACTTGGAGGACGGCCCACTCTGGATCGGTGTCACTGTCAGACGTGAGCCAGCCCCTAGTGAAATGCATCAATACCATGTGCCTTGGAACAGGGCATTGGACTTACAAGACTTTACGGACCCCAGTCAAGGACCCAATAGCTGGGACAAGTAATAACTTGATTTTGGCCTCCTCTTCAGACGTTAAACCCCTGTTCTCGTTAAACAGGTCATATAGGTAAACGTTTAGTTGGGTTGCATATTTTGCAGTAGGTGATGGCTTTGGCTCAGCGGCAACCAGGTGTTCGAGCTGGGATATCGATAATAACGCAATTGTTGACAAAATTCGCGGCTCCAGCCCAAAATTGATCTGTTTGCATATTAAACGTAGAGTCCTGTCGGCCCGGGTCCTCTGCCAAAAAGATTGAAGTAAGAAATGGCCCTTAGAGAAACTGGACTCATGGAACATGAAAATGGACCTACCTTAGTGCCTATTTCCTGGAGAAGCTCAGGTGGTAGAGACAACAACCCAGTCATGAGACCTCTTGTATGGTAGGTAGTTCAAAATCAGGATTGCGATAGGAGATCTGCATCAGTATTTGGCTAAGTCTCGTCGCACAAACAAGCAAAACGAGCGCAAGCAAGCTGCAACAACGCATGGGCGTCAATTATCGCCGCTTGACACCAATCATCGATTACAGCCTGCACGTTGCCTGATCGTGAGCGTCGCTGCCGCAACCCTCTCCGAACTCCCACTCACTTTACAATCTCAGTTTTGCATACACGCCATGTTGAAGTTTTTCCGTAAGGGACCGTGGAAGTCACTCTCCAGAGTATCCTTCTTCCAACAATTCCGCAGGTGGCTGATTACAGACTCGGAGCTGTGCACCACGCATTGGAATCTCCCACTCCCTCCCGATATTATGTATCACATCATCGACACCTACAACGACATTCCCGTAGACGTCCCTACGATTCTCGCACTAGCTCAATCGTATCCGGTTCTTCGACCGTTTTGCTTCTCAAAGATATTCCAAAATTTGGATATCAGCACCGGGAGCTTGCTTACTTTCGAGTTTTTTGCCGATGTCATCCAGAAATATCCCTTTGTTCTCGAGCGAATGGAGTCCCTTACCTTGGAAGGACAATTCAAACGCAAAGAATTGACCGGCAGCTCCTACGTTCTCTCGCAGATTACAGAACGGAGTCAGAACCTTGGGCGCCTCTGTCTCTCTATGAACAACAGATGGGAGGAATGCAATGAAACCTTCCGAGAACACCTTGTCGTTCTTTTATCACAGAGTCGCTTGCACACCTTCGTTCTGTGGCCCTATGGCGTTCCCATCGATCTGTTACGACATCTCCCCGACCTCAAGCGACTCGAGATAACCCCTTTTTTCGAGTTAACGCCATCAGGTTCGGATACTATTCCGGTTTGGGCACGTCGGGTGAAGGTGGAGGAACTTGTGCTTATAGGCATTAACACTTTTTGTTCACCGTTGGACTTCTCTTCGTTATTCGATTTCTCTGACTTGAAGGTGTTGGAGGTGCGGGAGCCTTGGATAGTGCACGTCCAGGAAATTCTTGCAATATCTGCTGCCTCGCTTCGCAAGTTGGAACTTTATCTTTACGATGCCTTGGGTATGTATTGTGTTTTCCCTAACTTCATCATTAATTGACGGAAACAGATGTCGATCTTGGTATCCTTTCTTGCCTCGAACACATTACACTCTCTGTCCGTTTTGAATATTTCACTCAAACGCACCACGCCAATGGCGATGTCAGCAGAACGTATGACCCGCCACCATCGGCCCAACTCCAACTCATTTCGAGAACGTTGGCGACATGTCAACCCCACAATAACATCGAGAAGATTCACCTTTCTATTCATTCACATTATATAGAAGATCTGCCAGGTCCAAGTGACTGGCTTTCCCTGGACTCACTCTTCTGGTGGCCAGGGACTTGGAAGGCGTTGGACCAAGTGTCGCTTGTGACAGTTCCAAACAACACAAAAACTCCCGAAATTCTGGAGTGGGCTGCTCCTATTGAATTGCCTTGTCTAATGGGGAGGGGAGTGATGGTAAAATGGTATCAGTATGTAAATCGCAATTCGGCGCAAAGAAGACGTACTTTTATATGGTATCATTGACATTTTGTACCTGTACATCATGAATTGGAAAGCTGGAACATTGATAACCATCCCTGTGTATTGAATTGATTGAAAGCGAACAGATTTCGTTGTAAAATTAGTACATATGAAGTCAAAAGTGCCAACCCTCATAAGACGAGGTCGCGGATTCACCTCGACCGAATATCCCAGGACGTTGCACACCAACCCCGCGCCTTGTGCCTTCGTGAAGTTGGGCGCGTCTATGGAATCAATTACCTGTGCATGACCCTCCTAATCCGGCTGACCCAAAAAAAAACACATCTGTTGCCTCGAGCTTTGATTCCATAGAGACTGGAGTCGAGTCCACAGAGCAGGCCACGCCCCAGAGAAACACTTATAATAAATTAACTGAAAAACATACAAAACGAGAAACGCCCATGGTTAGCACAATGAGTGGGTATCGGCCCGCGTACCGCGTTCAAGCTCGATGACGACTTTAAAATTTGACAAAATTTGTGGGCAAGCAGAGGGGGTTCTTGATAGAAGCCACGAGCCCTCACAAAAATTCGGCACATATTTTGTGCAAGGAATCCCATATCCGTTGAGAAGTGGGCGGTAGAGGGCTATTGGAGGGATTAAACTATCCAGAAACCCTGGTTTCCCCTGAACAACCCAGGGTTTCCAAAGTGCTTGCGTAGAAACCTTGTTTCCACAAGAAGCGGAGCTCAGAATATTTGAAGTCCACCACATGCACATGCATAAGTTCAAGTTGGCGGCGGGGGTCATCAACCTTTCAAGTAGCAAGGGACTATGGAAGGGAGCAGTGGCATCCCTAAACCACTCCCGCTCTCCTACATCTATGTAAGTATAGCTACCCGTCCAAACCCTCATCTTGTTTGCATCTTGTAGCATCGTGTAGACCATGAACCAATATTATTTACCGTGGTAACCACTTGTCGAGTGGGCGCGTCGCATCGCGCGACGATACGTGTGCGACAAGGGATGTGCATGATGGAGTTCAACTCGTCGCGCTCTCTTCTCATCATGACCCGGGGAGCCAAGATCAATTTAAATTTGAGCGCGACACGCGTCGGCATCTAGGAATTTAACTCCGACATGGGGTTCCTCAAAATAACCCATCGACTGATGGAAGGGGGATTTCTACCAAATGCAGAAGAAACCCAGGTACGGTTGGCGATCAGGAGCAGGTCTATCTTTTCTTCTCTTCGAACTAAATTTAGCATGCTGGGGTCCTACTTTGTGAGGCCTTGCGTGATGTGACACAGATATACATTATTACCCTAGGAACTTGTGGTCGTGGTAAACTCTGAAAATAAATCGAGCTTGCCAGGATTACACTGAAGTAATAGTGTCTGGCCCATTTTACTCCAAAATAACCTGGCAATGTTATTGTATGCCTCAAAGGCAAGGGAAAGTGGTCACCATTTATAAGGTGAAAAAATGTATTTTGACATACCTGACAGGGACAATAATAGGAAGTTCATCACTGACCCGGAATCGAACACGCGGCTACAGGAATCAGGCGCACCTCACGTTACACACAGAAGGCAGCCCGTTAGACCGTTACACCACATGGAATTATTATATACCAGGGCACGGTTTGTAGTCATACCCTTGAAGCAGCTGACGGTAATAAACACTCGCGTGAACGCAATGTCCATGCAACCCCGCTACTGTCTAATATTTCAAACCACCATCTATTCTACGGAATTCCGAACACCGAAAATAATCAATGGCCACACGCAATAGAGACAATGCAGAAAGTCGCACATCGTAATGTCTGACCTCTTCCGTAGCGTGATAGAATTTTGAAGTACAATACATACTTGAGATATCGTAATGAATTCAAAGCTTGGTGTGGAAGCAATGTCAACAGTGCAGTATCTAATTCTTTTGGCTGATGCAGCCGTGATTGTTAGCGGAAGCACCACCACCATTCAACTGGTCTCCCCTGCCCTCCCCATTGTCCGATGTGAAGCGCAATGGATGCCTGCCACCCCCGTTCATCAAGTGGATAATTTGACTGGGTAGGCTGCTTATCAAACAAAACTTCTGTTGAATGTGGCTCACCAACCTTGGGCTGCGCGGCAGGAGTGTATAACCGATGAGATGGATGCATCCTGTCGCATCGTCAATTTCGACGATGATTTCATCTGTTTTGAATCATTTCCCGTTGTTGTGGCTGCGCAAAAATGTGGTCCTCACCATATTGTGTGCCGGGTGGGCAGCGAACTCGACTTGGGTGAGCCATTGAAGGGTTGATGGTATGCTTTGTGGGATCTGAGGTTTTTATTCAGTTCTTTGCTTACATCTTTTCTCTGCCAAACTTGCGACACCCTTCCATCTCGGCTCTTACAAGAAAAATCGATGCATTCTGTGGAACCTTACTTGTCGCAATGTGGGAGTAAGTTGCATGTAAAGTTTGATTTTGCACGGCAGCTGCATTCAACAATAGCAAGCCATACTTCTGCACGGCAGAAGGTTAGCTTATGGTCAGTGAAATTGCGCTTTCGCATCATAGCTACATTGAACAATAGCAGGACCACACTTCGATGCGGCAGAAGGGTTGGTGCATGCCGATTGAAATGAGGGCACTTGATTCCGAGGCATACGATGCTTGTGAACCAACGGCCAAGAGAATCCGATAGGCTGATGATGGCACTCCAAGGGAGTCCAGGCTTCGGGTAAGTCATGCATTCAATCATCTAAGATACATAGAACTCAGGCCGTAAATTACAAGAAATTCTAAGCGTTCAAAATTAAGTGTCAGGGTTGGTGATAAACGAAAGGCTTCCTCGTTTAGCAGCCAGCCGTTTCTTTGGTGGGGACTCAGACTGGGCGATGTCATCATTGGGCTCAAAAACTAAGTTGTCGAGGTTTAGTGCGTTGCAAATCCAGTTGTTTCCGCATGCAGGCTGATGTTGCTTTAGAAAGTTTGCGATCTCAACCGGTCCTCTGTCCCAGTAATGCCTCGGACCAGTAGCAGCTGACGAACTATGAAAACGTGAGAACGTGGAATAAACGAGGATGATATATGATTTACGTGTGAGCTTGGGGATCGATGAGGCACATGTGGCCTTTGATATCGAGAGCCCCTGGAAATATGGTCAGTAATAACCCCATTTGAACAGAAACACGAAGGTATCTTACCTTGAAGGTCGCAGAACAGAAGGTTTTCCTGAGAATATAGAACGGAAAAGTGAGCAAAGGCGTGAATTGCACGAGTGATATGGTCATCCGCATCCCCAATGCTTCCATTTCCAGTAAACTTTTTCACAGGTGCATCAACGGGTCCACATGGAAGAAGAGGCGTGGCCAAAAAGTTGAGATAGGGAAGTGGGCGGCTGTTCGAAGTTGGTGATGGGATAATCTGACCTAGAATCGCACCTTTGAAATTGAAATAAAACTCTGCAAAGCCAGTAAGTATTATAAATCGTCGGATGCTGTGGAAATTATGTACTGGGAATTGTCACCACACCCTTGTTCGATGCATGAGCATCGAACGCAATTTTGAAGGAATCACCAAGACACAGAAGTTTAAACTCGGCTTCAAGAATGTCCTGGACATCGCAGTGGGACATCTGAAGGTCGATTGGTACTGTTATAACATACTCCTGTCCCTCGAACCTGGCCTGAACAAATGTTATGATCAACCAGCAAATTCTTGACGTGAACGTAAGATCAGGAACTTACATATATACCCCGTTTTGTTGAGCCATTTCCGATGAACCCAGCCCCACCTTCCTCAGATAGAGACGTTTCGGCAACCTCGATTACTTCTCGCTTTCTCGAGGCTTCCATCACGACTTGACCACTGTCTGGCCCTTCCTGAATATATCGGGCAGTCGTTCTGGTAAAGTTGCAAATTACCATCTCAACGTCTCGTGACCAGTTAAACTTTGCGGCCACTGGCCGCACTGGTGGCCTGTAAGCACTTTTGAGTACTTCATATCGGGGAGCTGCTGAACTTTTGGTTAAACCACTCAGCGCTGCACTGTTGTACGTGGTAGAGACGCTGGAAGATTCGAGCCGCTTTCTCTTCGAGACAAGGGACAGCCTAGATTGGAGTTGGTGTGATTCCAATTCATCATTGTCGTTTGCGCGCTGATTCTGTGAGAAAATTTTATCGTCTGAGTTCCTTGATAAAAACACAAGAAAACAGAGGACAAACAAACCCTTTCGCCCTTTGTGAAAATAAATCGGATTTCAATGAACCGATCTTCTAGCTGGCGGGTAGGCCCTAGCTTCTTTAGGAGAAATTCATTCTTATAAGTAAAGGCTATTGATTTCGTGCGATCGATGTGCTCCAGTGATGAATACTTCGTCTGGTTTTCATGGGCGTAACATGTCACATTGGACCTAAATGGTGTGCGTTCAGCACATTGAATGGGAGAAATCTTTCAGAAAAGCGCACCAACTGAGAGGAACTTCATCTGGGCTTAATTTCTGAAAGCTCTCCCTCACCGCTCCAAAAATTTGATCGAGAACTAACCCTGTTCCGCAATCTGGATCTACGATTTGAACGACACGGAGGGGAGTGACCTGTGGGAGGGACAGAGTTTGTATCAGTGTTCTTGACAAGTTCCACAAGACACGCAGTACCTGAGTGGGTGTCTTGGCCTTTTTTAAGTTTGACGAATTATCGAGTATCCAAAGGGTAGCGGCAAGTCGTATTCCAACCTCAGTAAGCTTAGCCTCTTCCGTCTTCTTTTTTCGCTCAGCCACCACCTTCTGGGCCTTGTTGAGATTCTGAAATTTATAATCTGGGCGGGAAGTAGACGGGTTGCTTATTGATGCTGCAGTGCGAACGGTGTTGTGAAGCCTCGGGCCTGATGCCTGGGACTGGTGAACCTTTGCCCGGGCTAGAATGGCAGATGTGATTTCCGAAACGTCTCCACCCTGCTCGGTTGAACTAGTAGCCGGAGTGATATTCTCTTCCGCATCATCACCGAAGAGGATATCTGCCATTCCTCGCAACTTCAGAATTGATGCCGGAACATTCTCCGCGCTCTCTGCGATCTGCTTTAGTATTGGCCATTTGGAACAGTAATTGAAAAGACGGACTGTAATGTTCAATACAAATTGGGCATAGAGGGTGTTTTATCTTGCTCGAAACAACACCGCAAGTTGCGCATTGTGGTTTTTCCTAATTGGCCAAGACACCAAGTGCATTTAGAAATTTAAATTATGGTTCGTGGTTCTGCCCCTTACGTTGAGAAATGCTATCTCTGATTTTGAGAGTCCAGGTACCCGGGCTTTACACTTTGCGCAATCACGGCCTTCTTCAAGTCGAAGGAAAGTATGGCTGCATTTTGAGCAGGTGGTCATCCTTGACAATTCGTTGTGAGTTCTCTGAGACTATCAAGCAGGAGGAGTTGGGGGAAGGATGGATTGCAAAAAGCCTGAAAACTTGAACGATGCAAATCGAACCTGCACCTCATCGAGACCTGAACCTCAAATTGACCATCATTAATAATCTCAAATTGTGTACATGGAACAGGAATCGGAGATCGACAGTTTCTAAAAAGCTATCAGGGGCAAAAGGTCTTGAAAAACGAGCCAAACATTTTCCATCGTCAGATCAGTCACGCCTAGCTCCTCATAGGCCGCCTCTGCTTGTTGCGCAAACTCGGGAGTCACGAAATCAAGCAATGCAGGTCCTCCCAAAGCAGCCTTCATTCCATGGATAATCGCAAGACCATTTTCTGGGAGAGGAAGTAAGCAGTTCACACCTCCCCATGATTCGGGAAGGCTGAAAGCTTCGTTCCGTGAACAACCAGATGGGCCGGCCTTGTTCTTGTCCTTGCGCATACGGACACCATTCCTAAAAGTGATAAAACTGGCAAGCTCTTGACGCAGGAGCTTCGGCCAAATCCACTGACAAAGTTCGCTAAATAAAAGAAGAGAAAATGATTAGGTGGTGTAGATAAACTTCGATACGATAAGCCAAAAACATACTGATGTTTCGTGTCACTGGAATTGTAAATCCCATCATCGATGCCACGTCGGAAGGCAAGTACGGCATTGTTTCCGAGCTCCAGCCTTAAGCGAAGCCAGGATCGCTCAATGCCAATGTTGTGTACACTGCGCACGTATCGGTGGGCGGGGAGTACCGAAGGATCAATGTCAGCGTGGAACATTTCCCTAAATCAATACAAGAGGGATGAGTGAGGTCAGTGGCCGGCACATAACATCGAAGAGAGATGAAGACCTTAGGGCATTGACAATGCCATATATCTGTGTTGTTTCAGAACCACAATCCGTCGAGAACTCAAGGGGCAGACCTGAAATATTTTCCCATTCAGATAAGTATGAAAAGGTAAGCTTAAAGAGACAACTCACCTCCGATCTCTTCAACGAGACAAAGAAAGAGATAGGCCACGATACTCCCCATGCGGTTACTCGGCACTACCCATGCACCAAGCCACCTAGAGCTCGCGTCGTCTACAACTCCCCATATTGGAAAACCGATGGAGTAAAGCTTGTCGTGGCCGTCTCCGGCCCAGCGCTCATGGATACCGAGGGGGTTTTTCTTGACGCGGACTGTCTTCTTGGATCCGGGTTCCCGATGGTCAAAGCCTCTAGGGTCGAAAGCATGCATGATTTCAGATATGAAGTCGCGGGAAAGATGAACTCCATGTTTAAATGCGATGCGACTCTTGACGTTGGCAAGCCCACGGGAGCCGCTGATGTCATCGTCCATCTCCGAGACAATAAGCTGAAGGGCGTCGTTGTATGGCATGGTGGCAGTCGTTATACGACTACCCATGAGAGAGAGCTCTTTGCGGCGGCGCTTGACAGCAGAGTCCCTAAAGTAGAAAAATAACTGTCAGACACAAAGTGAACGACTCGAAGTAAAGATAAAATGCTAACTTGATGTCTATATTGTAATCAGCTTTGAGAAGCGCAGAAATCTTCTTGTTTGAAGTCAGGCCTTGCCGATGGTAACTCTCAAGGGCGGCTTTGAGAGCAGGGTCGTCTGCAGTTGCTGAAAACGTACATGCACATGAGCAAATAAATCATCGGAAAATTTAACAAACGAAACTTACGAACGGGGGCATACTGGTTAACACCTCTGGGATTCCGATTGTGACTCGACGACATTGACGAGGAGGCGAAGAGACCACAGGAGGTCAATGAGCAAACAGCAGGCAGATGCCGACTGAAGTAATCTGCGTTTGCGGCTTTTATAGGTCTCGTAATTTTCTGAGGTCAGAAGACCTATTCGGCACTGTTCGATTGGGAAGAATGAGCACCTGCGGATATTATTGACAACTTCAAGACACATACATAATAAAAAAACAAGGCATACAATAGTCCTTCTTACAGTTCACATCGTCGAATAGAAATACATACGTCTTAGACGTGTATTTTGAGCTTCGATGAAGCTGTTGACAATGGTCCAGACACCGTATACAGGCGGTGATTCACCCGGAAGGAGGATCTATTAGCGAAATCTAGCTCTATTTGGAAGCTACAGCAAGTGCACCCCCCACGCACCATCTCCATTGCTGACTCGTTTCTCTAGATGAGTCTACAAATTCCGCGATTGATAATGCCTTGCGGAACACATCGTTATCGTGCACAATTGTGTATGTATAGACGGAGGGTTCGGCAGATATGTTGCCACGACTTACGGGTGGGCACCTTCCGGAAAAGGATTGAGGGGTTGAACGTGAGGCCGACAATACCTAGGAGAGTTTGGATAAAGTGCCCAACGAAGAGTGGTTTAGAGGCGTACCGGGCCGGGTTAAGGAGGTCACCAAGGGCTTTAAGAGGTGAGTGCTGGCTTTCTCATCGATAGGATAGGACCGGCACTAAACGGTTGTTGAAGACGTACACGGTATCCACTGTAGAATCTTCGGGGGCGTCTTCTTGAGCCGGTTGCCAATATGCACGACGAGGCGCGCGGTGTATCCAAAGACACTGTTATTCGTTCCTCACCACATCGGAGACAAGAACGACTACGCGTGCATTCAGAAATGCACTTCTAAAACCTACATAATGCTTGTGAACAACCAGTGACTACTAACGAACAAGTGGACGCGCACCTCTAACTGTTATGAGAACGGATGCTCTCACAAGAAGAATTCCGGCGTCGGACGAATTAAAAATCGATAGTATGCGTACCAGACCTTGCCTTTACTAGTTTCTTCGACAAGACCATTCGCTGGGTGATTCAGGCTGTCCAATCAGTTCCACCACCCACCCGAGCAAAAGAGCAAACTCACATCAATGACATGCACAAACTTAAGAGAGCAGCTGGCACGCGACAACTTGTTTGAAATAATTGAACATGGCATCGCCCGCCTCCGTATGTGGGAAGTACGCCACTGGGGTAGGGCCAGGAGATGATGGACGCTAAGAAGACGCCCATGAGTGTGGCTCCGCGGACGCAGTAAATGAGTGGGGTGGGGTACTTACCACTGATACCAGTGGCACTCTCAATGTACGCCGTAGCAGGCTTGTCCTCATGTGCGCACCCATGCTGATGGAGGGGCGTCCACACAGGACCTGCAGACTTACGGAAAATGCAAGGCTGCCAGTTCGTGAATGTGGTGAGGTAAGTTCCTGGTAAACACGATACATAAGTACTGGCATGCTTCGAATGCAGAACTTCCGGAGAACCTGGTCGACAGCGAATAAAGGTACTGAAGATCCAGCGTAGATGTAGAAGCATTGGGAACGAAGCCTGGTGGCGGCAGCTGAGATGAACATCATAGAAATCGAGAAGTGTGAGGTGATATCATCTGAAATTGAAAGGTTTTGCATGCACGTAGGGGCTCAGCCTAACTAAAGTGCCTAGCGTGCAATGCATACACCAATCGGTTGACGATTCAACCACGAATGGGGGGTAAAGAGTATCCAACGGTATACGTGTCAGGGTTTGTCTCCGTGAGAAAGATCAAAAAACACCATTTCCAATTATTATATATGTACGATGTACGGTTTACAAATATAAAGAGAGAAAACATACGGAGAAAACATAAACATGTATGTTGTAGATACTGAAGGGCTACGTCACAGTAGTACTACTAGATGGTA